ACTAGGCGGAGGAAAGAAGGGGCCAGACACTGGATACAGAATGGGAGTTGAAGTCCTTCACGAAACGGACAGAGAGAAAGGTCTTTATTTATTTATTTATTTATTTACATATACAAGAGTTCTTAAATTCTTGTACAGCCACCAGCACGCATAGTGTTGCGGGCAAGTCCCTACCCCTAAGTCACAAGGGGCACACGCACTAGGGGACACAGGTGGAAATTGAGTGTCCAAATGAGTCATAGAGACATTAGAATTTTTCAGTGTCAGAATAGTAGACAAATAGAGTGCATTAGGCAGTGATGTGGTGGAGGCTGACTCCATACACAGTTTCAAGTGTAGATATGATAGAGCCCAGTAGGCTCAGGAACCTGTACACCAGTTGATTGACGGTTGTAAGGCGGGACCAATGAGCCAGAGCTCAACCCCCGCAAGCACAACTAGGTAAGTACAACTAGATAAGTACACACACACACACACTCGGGGGGGACATAATCACCACAGGCAAGATTATCAGGGGAATTGACAGGATAGAGAAGGATATATTATTTAACACGGGTGGTACTCACACAATGGGACACAGGTGGAAGCAGAGTGCCCAAATGAACCACAGAGACATAAGAAAAAACTTTTTTCAGTGTCAGAGGAGTTAGTAAATGGAATGCATTAGGCAGTGATGTGGTGGAGGCTGACTCCATACACAGTTTCAAGTATAGATATGATAGAGCCCAGTAGGCTCAGGAACCAGTACACCAGTTGACTGACGGTTGAGAGGCGGGACCAAAGAGCCAGAGCTCAACCCCCGCAAGCACAACTTGGTGAGTACACACACACACGTGCGTCAGTTGAGAACACCATCCCCAGCCTCTGAATCACACTACAAGTCAAGTCAGGAGATTCCATTAAGATAACTTTTCCTTGTAACGCTACAACGCGTGTGAAAAAAAAGAACCGAACTTCCTGGTGTTAATGCCAGAGAGAGAGAGAGAGAGAGAGAGAGAGAGAGAGAGAGAGAGAGGGAGAGAGAGAGAGATGAGAGAGAGAAGAGAGAGAGAGAGAGAGAGAGAGAGAGAGAGGAGAGAGAGAGAGGAGAGAGGGGGGAGGGGGAGGGGGAGGGGGGGGGGGAGCTCGAGGAATATAGATGGAGAGTAACCTTGACATCGTTGAGTTATCCAGGTCCGCAGCACCAAGAGAAGGACACTAATTCAGACACACAACCACACAAATCATATTTATTTCATTTATTTTTCAACCATCGTCTATCTTACTAACAGGAAGGAAGAAATGAAGGAGGGAAATTATAAATTTTTATCTCCTAAAAATAAATACAAACGGCATTAGTTCCTGCAGACTCAAAGAAACACATTAATCTTTATTACTTGAGTAACAAAGGATTCCTTAATTATGCAAGACGAATTTTGTTTTCGTTATATTAAGAACTTCGAAGAGAGCGGCTGCATGCGACAATTCATGCATAACGATAATATATGTTAATGTATGACGTGAAATACACTCGCTCTCCATACAGTCTTTAAAAAGCGAGATCCTCCAGACCTTGAACAACGAGTCACGTCGGACTGGAAGGACAAGCCCCCATCAGACACTGAATATTGAGCCCATCCAGCCCAAACCGACACAAGTCTCTTTAGATATTAAAGAACAAGCCCCTCGCGACCTTGACGAATGAACCTTGACAGAATTCTAAAAACAAATCTCTCTCGAATTTGAATATACGAATCCCTTCGGATTTAAGGAACTAGCCCCCTCAAGCACCTTATACCTCGCCAACGAGGCCCTGAAGCATTTTAGCACCAGGTAAAGCTTCCTTCTGAAGCCTACTCTGCCTCGCAAGCTCAGCACATCACCAGCGACCTCTCCTCGTATCAAAACTGCAACAGCTTCACTGCCCTTTCGGGGCTTCCCAATGGACGTTTCAGCACATACAAGAGACATCACCTACTACGTCTAAGCTTGGCATGACATATAAGAATCCGACGGGGGAAGGATTCCGAAGGTTTTTATGTGTAAATGTTAATGAGATACTCCAGCTGCTTGGTACTGTTTCAGATCCTCAGTGGATATTTCAAATCATTAGAAAGTAACAGAAGAGTGAAAACGAGAAAATGTGGAAACAAAATAACAGATAACCGATTTTATGTTATGTGATACATTTATTTATCTGATGAGGACAAAAAGTATTTTTATGTTGTGCATCTTCGCAGATGATACAAAGATTGTAGAGATAGATCTCTGTCTGTCTATCTGTCTGTCTCTCTCTCTCTCTCTCTCTCTCTCTCTCTCTCTCTCTCTCTCTCTCTCTCTCTCTCTCTCTCTCTCTCTCTCTCTCTCTCTCTCTCTCTCTCTCTCTCTCTCTCTCTCTCTGTTTCTCTATCTTTGTCTGTCCGGTTCTGTCTTTATCTTTCTCACTCATCTTTCTAATCTTCCTTTCCTCTCTTCCACACATGTAATAATTAAAATTCTTCGTTTAGTATTGTAATTATTGGGAGGCGTAACCCCTGGTCATGGCGGGCACTTTATGGAGCGAGGTGTCATTATCAGGAAATGTTTTTAAGATTTCCTTATTAATATTTAAGAATTAATAAAAGTCTTCACAGGATAGTAATAAACATACAGAGGTGTTTATTAATCACTTAGATTTTTTTCGCATAAGTTATGCGGAACATTTAAGAAAATTTGACAACAAATACAATTAAGTAGATATTTGCCATTTAATTCACAATGTTGTCGTGCAGTTAGGTCTAACAGTGCATCAGTAGGCTTACACTTCTCATAGCAAAATTCCTAAGCAGAACGGAGAAATGACAATTATAGCTACTGGAACAATTTTAGGATCAATATCAAATTCTGAAGAAAATAGTATCCTAACTACGGTTTCGTGGTCATCCAGGCTGTTTCTCTCCACATGTTGTTGTTGTTGTGATCATCACTGACGCGAGGCATCATCACTCTCACCGCCAGGAGGAGTGTGTGGAGAGGGAGACAGTGAGAGTGAGAGTGAGAGTAAGAGAGAGAGAGAGAGAGCGAGAGCGGGAGAAGGGAAGTCTCGACGTCTACTAGACGGAGAAGGTGCACGTTTCGTCCCACACCAGAACCTCTGTGTCTCCTGTTTTAATCTCGGTGTAGTCCTCTCCCACCGTGCACAGTACCCTGGTGTGGTCCAGACGGGTCCTACGGGTGCACAGGAACATTAGAGTGGTGATCATGATGAAATGACTTGGCACTAAGTTTGCCTGGTAGAAATATTCATTTTGTAACCAATCAGCATTGTAAGTGTGCATTCTTGTATAATAAAGCATACAACATATATAATAAAAAAATGGGTGGAATGAGAAGCGAATACTCATGTGTATTTAGAGTCATATGGCAAAATTTTCTCTGAATACTCTGTATTCTCTTCTCCGAGGCTATAGGTTCCTATAGTTGCATCAAAAGTGGTATCCCTATATAAAAAAAATCAAATTATGTTTATCTAATTTCCGGAAGTTCTATAAAATAAAGCTATAACCAAACTTAAATTTTCCTAGGCTTAGTATAGCACATAAGAATACCACATAAGTACTATATTAGACCTCAGATAGCGTGTATTGAGCCTAGGAGAGTTAGGTTAGATTTTATTAGCAACATAAAAATATAAAAAAAATCCGGTTTGTCCAAATTTAGTGCTACAATAATTTACTTTCTGGTGGTCCATTACGACATATTTGTACTCTCGACCCACATCGTTACTGTAAGTACTTTCGTCTTAAGACGATGCGCTAAACTAGACATTCCCCACTTAAAGTATCCACGTAATATTAGGAGCATAAAAATTATTATGCATAAAGATTCGTGTTTGTGCCGATAAAGTATGCACACACACACTTGATGCGTGAATGTATTCTTTGAGCAACAGATATTGCAATGTAAAGTAGCTCTAGGATGCATTATAAGTAACAGACACTAACGGATAAGTAACAGTCTGGTAACAGACACTCTTGGGTAGATACAATATTCACACACACAACCTTTCGCTATTAAAGCCTTTTCCAATAAATATAATAAATTGTTATCCAGTACGATGCGCTTATCTTACGAAAACATTCGTTAATGATATAGGCAGTGCAATATTGCATTAGAATATAGAATCTGAATTATATAACTGAAGAATTAAAATTAAGAAATATAAGTTATTAAAGTGATTATAGATGTTTGGGAACAGAAAAGGTTTAAATACGGAAGATCTAACAAAACTTATTGATACATTTATATGTAGCAATATATATATTAAGTATTAAGATAGCACCCCCACGAATTGATAGAATTACGGACTTCTCATGCCCGTGCCACCTTTTGGGTGGTTTAATCTTTATGAATCATCAATCACTCAGATAGAAGGAATATATTCCTTGAAAGGTTTGCACACTGAGAGTTTGCTTTACTAGGTTAGTAAAGCAACTAAAGTAAAGTAAAGCAACTGTACTCCTGAACTATGTTCAGGAGTACAGTATATATGGTAGTTGGTCAGTAAGCAATTGATGAGGCCTTAATAACCTTAAATAATTTAACAGGTCTCAAGCCCAACACCAAACTTACACGTAGAAATTTATCATAGCAGGAAAGCAAAATTTGGGGATCACTAAACCAACGCAATTAATGCTATTAATATTCATTTGACGTTACTTCAACATCATTTGCCTGTTAGGAGCCAACTTTACGATAAGGTAAAAATATTATCTAGGATATGCAGTAAGCCAATACGAGAATATTGCACTTAGAAGGGTTTGAGAATAGGGTACAGAGATACGACAGAGGCAAAGAATGGTGTCCAACCATATGGACCTTCGAGAGTCGAACGGTACAGTGAGGTACTGTATACTCACGCTTCCGGGTAGTACTCCATTGGGGAGATCTGGATTGAGCGAACGTAGAGAGAGCGGTTACACAGTAGCATGAAGCAGTAGCTGCCAGGGTCGTAGAGAGAATCGTCGTAACTCCAGTGGGCTTCCATCCTGATCGCGCGCGAGATGTCGACGTGGCTGGTGAACATGAAGTACTTGGGCTGCCCGTGGTCGAACCTTTCGTGTTGTCTGGATAAAATACGTTTTATTATTGCATCGATGTACATTTTAGACACTGGTGAGTTGCACCCCGCACTCTCCTTGTCACTGGACAAATAGTTTCATTTATTATGCGTTGAAGATGGGGAAAAACATCTCCTTTCAGCAGAGTTCTCTAATAAGGAATAGGTATGACTGGGAGGCTGCGTTCATATTCTTGATTTCCATATGTCTCTGTACCAGGGCGTCTCCGCTACTTGAACATCAACAGCTGTGATTCCCGCTATGACATAACATTAAACTTCCACTAAGTTTATATTCTAAATGTCTGAAGTGGTGTTAGTGAAGTGTTGCCATAGTTATTAAGCATACACGAATAAATGAATATGATAATATGCTGTTGCACTAACTGAAAAAAAAACACTTGGTGAGGTTTTTGTGTTGGTAAATCTAGATGAGCTGGGACCGGTCGATCCACAACAGCAACCGAAGCCAGAGATTAAAGACGAGTTTCCACACTCAATACTGTGAAGCATAGGAAGGAAATAAAGATCTAGATATGTGTTAGTATTAGAGATAAGAGACTTAATTTATGAAGACAGTTAGCGTGTAGAGAAATATCAAAATGAGATAAAACTTTATATGTATATGAGGAGTCATATCTAACAAACACAAGAATAGATATCATAAAAGATGAAAGCTAAACGAATGAGGCGTTTACCTGCTCTTGTGTCTGTAAACAGCCACTCAGCACCGGTAAACAAAATTTGTTCTATTTTCCATGTTACACTTACTTAGTGAGTCTGACTTTGTCGATTGTAAGTCCATTATCACCAAACAGCCAGATGTCAAGGTGACCCTGAACCCAGTCCTCGGCATTCTTCGGGTGGGCTGTATCCACGATGACTTGGTAATGATAGTCTAGAGAGAGAAGGAATTTTGGTTAGAATCGTTGTGGAGGAATCGAGAGTTCGAGGTCAGTGGAAACGGTGGTGATTAAAAGGAAATTAAGCTATAGTAACTAACAGAAGAAAAGGTTAATTATGAGAAACTTAGTAATGAGACCCAAGCTAAGGAATGTAGTGATGTTGCTACCTGGTGGGGGAATATTAGCTATGGGAGGTGATAATGGTCTTCTAGAGACAGGGATAATTATAGTTAGGGAAATTAGCCGTGGTGGTGGTGGTTGGCAGGTGTTAAGGAGCAAGTTTTTGAAAGTGATAATCAGCGTCAACAAATGGATAGATAAGCGAGGTGTCTGGTACGGTGGTTTGCTTCGACAATGGAATTTGTAGCGTGGAGTTATCGTTGGGCTGGCGTGAATGGTGTGGTTTACTGGTGTTGGTAGTTAGGGAGTGATCATGTAGTTAGTTTTGAATAAATAATGTTAGCAACAGAAGGATTAGCGGCAGTTGAGTCAATAAGTGGTTGATTTGTTGTGTGTGAAGACAGACCAATAGAGTTGATTGCAGCATAACAACAAATACATAATTTGTTGCACGGTAAATACATGGTAAACATAACACATTCTTTGGGCGGATTCACTGCATATATATTGTGTACTCCTACACAATATAAATGCAGTGAAAGAACTCGCCCAAAGAATGTGTTGTTTACCATATTTCTCTGGGTTTGAGAATATTGTCAAGGCCTTGAAACTTTTTAATATACATGTATTGTTTAGCTACGAAAATACTGTTGGTAAGCTATTAGTTAGAAACAGCCCTCGTGGTGATAATTGTGTCATTTATATAATACCTTGTAAAGACTGTAATAAGTTCTATGTTGGCCAAACATCTAAAGATTTGAAATGTAGAATTTCGCAACATAAATACTCTGTAAGACATGGCCAATTGTCTAATGCTTTGTTTGTTCATCTGTCAGAAGATGCTCACCAAATTGATTGGGAGATGGCTTCTTCAATAACGAATTGTAAAAGCACTTATAACAGGAACATAATTGAATCTGCTTTGATACAGATTACAAAAGAAAGTAATTTGAACATTAGCAGTGGTTTATATAACTTAGATCCATTTTTTGATAGATCAATTAAAGGGCGATTTGAGTAGGATCATTGATACACATTTGTCTCGCTAATTCATTGTAAATATTTACTATCTTATGCTATTATAATCTATGTGTGGGCCTGTTGGTGGTATGGATAGGAGCTGCATCGTATGGGCCAATAGGCCTTCAGCATTTCTTGTGCGGCTCATATTTGTGTCCACCTAATTCCCATTCATTTGTTATTGTACCTCACCTCACTTCACCATTCTCTCCTGCCTATTTATGTTCAATACTTGACCTGTAAAATCACTCCTTCTGAAGATGTATTAATACACGAAAGTACTTAAGGAAATTCCTGTTTCAATTTTCCTCCGTGGCCTGATATTGACACAACAGAAAACCCCATAGTTCAATCAGGAATGCAAGGTAGCGAAGCAACTGAGTAAAAGAACATGGAGAAACTACAGAAATAACAGAACACCGGAGTGCAGGGAGAGATACCAGAGGGCCAGAAATGAGTACCTCAGAGTGAGGAGGGAAGCAGAGAGGCAGTTTGAAAATGACATAGGAGTAAAGCCAAGACCTAACCAAAGCTGCTCCATAGCCACATCAGGAGGAAAACAGCAGTGAAGGAATAAGTGGTGAAACTGCGAAAAGGGGAGAACAGATACACAGAGAATGACAAGGAGGTGTATGAAGAACTCAAAAAGAGATTCCAGGAGGTCTTCACAACAGAACAAGGAGAAGCCCCTGCACTAAATGATGAGGAGGCAAACCAAGCAACCTTGGAGGAATTTGACCTCACCAGTGATGAGGTCAAAAGGTGTCTGCTGGAGCTGGATGTGACAAAGGCTGTTGGGCCTTACAGAATCTCACCGTGGATACTAAATTAAGGTGCAGAAGCACTAAGTGTGACACTCTATGGTGTATAACAGGCCACTGGAAACAGGAGACTTACCAGAAAGTTGGAAGACAGCTAACGAAGTCCCAATATACAAGAAGGGTGACAGGCAAGAGGCACTGAACTACAGGCCAGTTTCCCTAACTTGTATACCATGCAAGGTGATGGAGAAGATCGTGAGGAAAAGGCTCGTAGAGCATCTGGAGGGAAATAACTTTGTAATGCACCAACATCATGGGTTCAGGGATGGTAAATCGTGCCTCACAGTTTAATAGAATTCTATGACCAGGCAACAAAAATTAGGCAGGAAAGAGAAGGGTGGGCCGACTGCATTTTCCTGGACTACCAAAAAGCCTTTGACACAGTACCCCATAAAAGGCTGTTAACAAAGTTGGAGCAACAGGCAGGAGTAAGAGGGAAGGTGCTCCAGTGGATAAGGGAGTACTTAAGCAACAGGAAACAGCGAGTAACGGTGAGGGGGGAGACATCAGAGTTGCGAGATGTCACCAGCGGAGTCCCACAGGGCTCAGTACTTGGACCCATCCTGTTTCTAATATATGTAAACGATCTTCCGGAGGGTATAGACTCGTTCCTCTCAATGTTTGCTGATGATGCAAAAAATATGAGAAGAATCAAGACGGATGAGGATAGACCGAGACTACAGGATGACCTGGACAAACTGGAGGAATGGTCTAGAAAATGACTGCTAAAGTTCAACTCAGGAAAGTGTAAGGTAATGAAATTAGGCGAAGGGAGCAGGAGGCTGAACACTAGGTATCATCTGGGAGGTGAAATCCTGCAAGAGTCAAATAGAGAGAAAGATCTGGGGGTTGATATCACACCGAACATGTCCCCAGAGGCCCACATCAAAAGAATATCATCAGCGGCATATGCTTGACTGGCCAACATAAGAACTGCCTTTAGAAACTTGTGTAAGGAATCGTTCAGGACCCTGTATACCACTTATGTAAGACCAATCGTAGAGTATGCAGCTCCAGCCTGTAGTCCATACCTAGTTAAACACAAGACAAAGTTAGAGAAGATTCAGCGGTATGCCACCAGGCTCGTCCCGGAACTGAAAGGAATGAGCTACGAGAAAAGGCTAAAGGAGCTGAACCTCACATCCCTGGAAAACAGAAGAGTAAGGGGAGACATGATAACCACCTACAAAATTCTCAGGGGGAATTGACAGGGTGGACAAAGACAAACTCTTCAGCACGGGAGGGACACGAACAAGGGGACACAGGTGGAAACTTAGTACCCAAATGAGCCAGAGAGACGTTAGAAAGATTTTTTTCAGTGTCAGAGTAGTTAATAAATGGAATGCATTAGGAAGTGATGTGGTGGAGGCTGACTCCATACACAGTTTCAACTGTATATATGATAGAGCCCAGTAGGCTCAGGAATCTGTACACCAGTTGATTGACAGTTGAGAGGCGGGACCAAAGAGCCAAAGCTCAACCCCCGTAAGCACAATTAGGTGAGTACTGTCATATCCACACACACACACACACACACACACACACACACACACACACACACACACACACACACACACACACACACAGGCTCGCCTGTGCCACCAGGCTCGTCCCGGAACTGAGAGGATTGAGCTACGAGGAAAGGCTAAAGGAGCTGAACCTCACATCCCTGGAAAACAGAAGAGTAAGGGGAGACATGATAACCACCTACAAAATTCTCAGGGGAATTGACAGGGTGGACAAAGACAAACTCTTCAGCACGGGTGGGACACGAACAAGGGGACACAGGTGGAAACTTAGTACCCAGATGAGCCACAGAGACGTTAGAAAGAATTTTTTCAGTGTCAGAGTAGTTAATAAATGGAATGCACTAGGAAGTGATGTGGTGGAGGCTGACTCCATACACAGTTTCAAATGTAGGTATGATAGAGCCCAGTAGGCTCAGGAATCTGTACACCAGTTGATTGACAGTTGAGAGGCGGGACCAAAGAGCCAAAGCTCAACCCCCGCAAGCACAATTAGGTGAGTACACACACACACACACACACACACACACATATATATATAGGTACTCACAGCAGTACGGAGAGTGATCGTCAGTGTCGAAGTACATCTTAACGTTCACCCGCGACTTATCCGTGTACTCATCAGCGTGGATACCCATGAAGGCGCACTTTGAGTTGTCCTCTGCGCAGGTTGCGCAGCGACCCTGGCAGGAGGAAGAGGCGGCAGTAGTGGTCAGGGCACATTGGGATGGTATTGATTGATTGATTGATGAAGATTAAGCCACCCAAAAGGTGGTACGGGCATGAATAGCCCGTAAGTGGTGGCCCTTTTGAGCCATTACCAATATCAAAAGATGATACTGGAGATCTGTGGAGGCGCAACTGCACCCTGCGTGACCAAATGGTGACCAAATGGTGGATGGTATTGGAAATTGTGATGAGAAATAACTGATTGATTGATTGATGAAGATTAAGCCACCCAAAAGGTGGCACGGGCATGAATAGCCCGTAAGTGGTGGCCCTTTTGAGCCATTACCAGTATCAAGAGCTGATACTGGAGATCTGTGGAGGTGCGACTGCACCCTGCGTGACGGGAGATGTCTCCCGTGGAGAAATAGCTAAGCCAAGTTGACTATATAAGCACATGGAAGGGATACGAGGGCATTACGGGCTATTCATGCCCGTGCCACCTCTTGGGTGGCTTAATCTTCATCAATACGAAGGCATGAGAGGAGTTGGTATAGGAAGAGGGACTGAGGGATCTATGTCCATTTTGGACTATTGGGGGATCGAACGTGGACCTGAAAGAAACAAGTTCGTCACTTCATGGATTATTGATTGCGTCCGTGCAAGTTCATTTGTTTTGTTAAATTGGCGGAGTTTTTTTACAAATGTGATAATGTTTGTAGGATTCGTCTCACTCTGATTTTAATAAAATAAAATAGGGTACAGTAATTCGTATGATATATTTTGAAAATAAAAATCCATTTGGGTAATATTATATCAGAGTTTATATGTTAAAATTTCTGAGACAACATGATGCTTGAAATATCGGACTGCCTTTACTGATATCAGTGAATTTTGTTATCTAGGTTATGGCTTTAAGCAGGTGTATAATACCCAGTGTCTCAGGTTGTATGTATGTCAGTCATTGGACACATGACTCCACAAATTCTCCCACGCTGATACATATCTCAAAATGTATCATACACCAAACCATTACTCTATAACTACTCAAGTTGATGAAAAATACTTTGTTTAATTTTGTCTGCGAGAATTCATAGCAATTTTTTTTTATGGTTGAATTAGAGATTTTATCCTAACTGCCAATTTATGTTATCTCTAAGTAAAACTCTATTGGTGCACTATTTAGCGTGCAAGTAGATAATTGCTCGAGACGTAAACTAAATGGTCTTCATCTCAATTATTCTTTCAACTGTTTTCTGTTGTCGAGGACAGACAGACGATTTAACTTTTCGAGGTCCCTCCTACTCCAGGCTGCAGCAACAACAGTTGCCTTTATATAAGGAACCTATTTACTGCCTGGTAAATACAGCTTCCAGCTCAAGAAAATCTGACTAAAACGTCTTGTCCTGTCTGAGGAATCGAACCTGGAACCATTCGGTTGTGAATCAACTGCACTAACTACTCAGCTTCACAATCCTTTCACCGCAAGATGCCGCAGTAATTATAGAAGAAGACAGAATACTAACCAGTTCAAAGGAGTCGTAATCGACGCACTCGTGGGCTGTGTAAGGGCACGGCTCGTAGAGTGAGTCAATATAGAGCTTGTAGGATCTACCGTGACTGCAGGCGGCCAAGTCCCTCACGCCGTCCGGAACGTCAGTGATGAACTCAATGCCAATTTCGACGGGGCTGCAGCCAGGCTGGTCATGTCCCGAGTTGGGGTAGAAATCGACGTTGCCCATGGGCTCCTCTGTGCCGTAGCCCAACACCAGAATGCTGTCGGCGTCCGTGTGAATGTTGTCGACGTAGACGGCATCCGTTTCGTCGAGTCGGATGAAATCGGGATTGTTGGTGTAGTAAGGCCCAGCTGGGTCGAGGCCTGAGATACGGCCGAGATTTTCGATTTTCTCTCCTGCGTATCCTGACACGTGGGAGCCGAGGGAGTGGCCGAGCAGGTGAACGTTGGCAGGATCAACACCGTACTCGCTGATGAAAAAGTTGACGAGGTACCCAATCTCCAGGCCGACGACGCGGGTGTTGGCGGAGGCCTGGTAGTACATGGGCAGCGAACCGTCGCCCCAATCCGTTCGAATAACGTTGTAATCACCGTATTCGAGGAAGGCCGCCGCCATATCCTGATTCCAGGTAAGTCAAGTGGCTTTAGTTTCGTTGTAAATATTAAATGGTAGATATAAGCACAATAAAGTGTGCAATCTGTAATTGACATGTCGTTTGATGAAACTTTGGTTTATTTATACAATAAGATCTTAGTACTTTAGTACTACTACTAATAAGCAAGTAATCAGTCCGTAATATGAAGAGCATATGCTTACTAAGTCATCAAACATTGCAAAAATTATACAATGCATATATATATATATTACTTTAAATATATTATACAAATAATCTCTTTACCTCTCAATATACATCGCATACCTTGAGCCACTGGGTGTTGCCTGTGTCGATAAAGCCGTGGGTAATGATTTTGATTGGTTTGGACGGGTCGAAGGTTGTAGAGTCAATCACGCTCGAGTCTGCACTGATAAACACGTCCTGCAAGGAGACATGGTAAACAACTGCTGTGTGCTCTTATGCAAAATATTTCTTAGTGTTGAATCTCTACCTCATGATACAACTTAAACTGATCTCTAAATCATCCATCACATAGTGATGCATCCTATTACGACTTCCGCGTATATTATAAAGCAACCAGGTGATTTATACACTCTTACACAAAATTCCATAATCATATTGGTATCGAAGTCCTTCAACGCTTCGTAGATATATGTAAAACCCTGTAACAAACTCTACCACAACTGAGTTAATCCGGTATTGAGCAGCTTCCTATCAATTCAAGACCCGAGACTAATGAAACAGTGCGAACATTAGATACTTTTTGCAGACGACGAGTCCCAATAACGTGACTGTACACGGCATGTCCAAACCTCACATCAGACACTATCATAATAGTCATCCAAACACTGGTCACATTACCAACAAATGGTTTAAACTTTTCTAAAAACCTGGTTTTATCCAAACAAAGGATTCCACACCTACATCTCTCCTCCAGCACACGCGTCAGCACCTGTCCGGTACCCACAAGCAGTCTCCAGCACTCGTTCAAACACCATTCCCTGTCTCATTGGCTTCAAGGACGCCATTGTTTCCACGTATCTACCAGGTACTCCAGAGTACCTCACGACCTAAAGGCCCTTGAAACTCATCAGACATTCCTCCTCACCCCTTTTCTTTTTCTGAGATACCTCATTTTCAGCGCGTTCTGCTCTTGTGTGCAGGCGGAACTGAGTGTTGATGTGTCCCCTTGAATTAGGCAGGACGTTGATGGGTCTTGTGGGAGTGAACCAGTCATCGTTGAGTTCCAAGCAGCCAAGCACCGGATCGCACCATTGTGTGTCAACTCCTGAATGGTCAAAAAAAAAAAAACATTAGGTTAGTTTTGTCAGTCGACATTAGCACCAATTAATATGAACATCAACAAATGGTAAAATATAGTTAGCTTATTGACAGGACTCACTAATTCTTATGATGGTATTCTTGACTCACAAAAAAACTTATGCTTGATGAAATCTAGCTCCTCATATTAAGATGCCGCGCTGCTTCATCATCTGGGAACTACACGGACCACTCTACCATTAGTCTCGTCTCCTTACTAAGTGTTTACTAAAAAAAAAAAACTACCAGACCTATACGTTGCTTCTATTTTTTTAATATTTTTTTTAACATTTATAGCAACAATTTGTGTTGGAACCGTTATTGACAGTTCCAGAGGAAGGAGCCGGTACACGGGAATTAAATGGCTGAAGAAGCGGTTCTTACCTTCCCCCGAAAAGTCTTGTGTTCAGTAATGTAAGTGTATTTCTTGAAGATTATTAACACGATTACTTTGACTATGTTATTGTATAGAGCAAGAGTGACAGATTATATATTAGTGAGGGGTCAAGATTACCAGGATGATCAATTATTTCTCGTGATGCTGACGAAGCACCGCAAGACATTATAATTAGTTCAATACCTTCCTTCAACTTCTAGAGTGTGGGCCCACTGATTGCATCGTCTGAAATTCTGTATTTACTGAAATTACCTTGAATAGCTGTTCCAATCTCAATAATATTACAAGGGAGTTGCGGTTGAAACAAATATAAGCTCTCAACAAGTGTCCCGTTCACATTTATCTTACAAAAGAACAACATTTACTAATGTAAATATTGGAGAAATAGCTAAGTTTTTGGCACTATAAATTTTGATAGGGTGAGGAATTTATAGAAATAGGATAGGAATTTTATTTATAGGATAGGAATTTATATATTCATTCCGTTAAGCAACCTCTTAACGTCCGGTTAAATTTTTATGCAATGGATACGAATATTGCCAAATTAGAAGGATTTCAATGTCGGCCAAAAAATATGAAATCCAGACTTAGGAATGATTCAAATGAATCCAATTTATTTAGCAAAATTTTTTGTCTTGAAAGGAGAAGAATACGAAGCGACACACAAAATTCACAATAGCGTGATGCATCAAATGAACAAATCCACAAGGGTGCAATGAAGTAAGGGCGAAGAGGTAGAACGGCCGATTGACATAGCTCGAGTGCATGGGGGAGTTGTGTAAAATCCTGGTTTGTGTCTCGGAGAGGCTGCAGGATCCAAGTAAATTCAGTTGAATTTATGGTTGCAATTCTTATACCATGTGGTAGCTCAGTCGATTAAGGCAGCGTCTGGGATGCTCTTGGACGCAAGTTCGAATCCTCGTCACGGCCCTTGTGGATTTGTTCAATACGAAGCTATTTATAATACGTATTTATGGTTACTAAAAGATGGGGCAATATTGACCCCCCATTATAATACTTTAATTTTGCATTCTAATATTACTCGAAACAGTGGATTTAAAATTAATTCCATTTTTTCAGTCAAACGAATCAAATTTCAATTCTTTAATCAGATAGTAAACATATGAAACGGCATATCCAAGAATATAAGTCGGTGTACTGCCGTTGATACTATTAAAAAGCCGATTAAAAAAGCAGATTAAACAAAATTTAACGGCCTTTTGCTGTTTGAAATCATTTGTATTCCTTTATAAAAAGCGACAACTGAAATCAATTACGTGATGCTCTACGTTTCTAGAACATTCAAAGGAGCAGCTGTAGGCTTTCCCAGACAGGTCTCAGTGACCTGATTCCCAGTGCGTTCTTCCTAATTTAGCCTTATAAACTGGGATTCTGAGCTTACGCTCTCATAACAGTCTTGCATTAAATTATTTACCTACGCACTAATGCATGCTAAACAGTACTTAACGTCCATTGTTGGAAAATTGCGAGAATCTATAATCGCAGAAAGTATTCGTTAATATTTATAAAGGATTCACAACAAAAAATAGAACACAAAACGATGGATACAAATTTGGTAAGTTAAGATTCAGAAAATCCCTAGGGGTGTGTTTTCTATTGTTATATTCATCAACCGATAATATATCTTCACTGTTATGCCTTTCACCTCCTTGTATACTATAATCATTTTGAATTTCCGTCTTTTTGGAGAATATAAATTATGTTTTCGTAATCTCTATTCATAAATATGGTTCCTAATTCCTGGGATTAAGTTTGTTATCTCTCTTTTTACACAAGTTATTCCTAATTCTCCTAGATATAAACTCCAAGACACTAGTTGCCTTGTTTCAAACATTTATTAATTTATTTATTTAATCTCTGGGCCCTAAGCCATCCAAGCAATATGACGTTGGCCGTGACATTCATTTTCCTTGAATATCTGGTTAAGGTCCAGTTGTTAGCAAACACTCATTTGCCCTGATGATGAGGACCATAGTGGGAGTGGCTAAAACCTTGGAGTTCACTGGTCAGGTTGAGACAACGCTTACTTAACTCACTATCCACATAGAGACAACACTTACAAAGCTTACTAGCTGGAAACACGATACATCGAGCCTGTATTAAGCTATTTACAAAGCCTACACACCTTTCTTTAATCATAATGGCTTTGTTTACATTTAGTAAAGAGTTTATGGGCTTCGAAACTTCACATTCCAAGGTTATTGTTGTTGTTAACAACCTCGCAGTGCTTCGGAGATAATAATCTGTTTAATAAATGTAACCCATCACGCCATGATTGAGGAAACATGTAAAGCTTTCGTTAATTAGTTGTGTAAATGCTTTACGAATCCTGGCCCATGATGATTAAGACTTACTCAGTCGTCTTGTGAGGTCGTGTGGCCGGCTTCGTCTCCACCCCGGGACAGCTGCAGACGCCGCCCCAATCACCAACACCAAAACAGCGATTTTCATGGTGATGAATTATTCTCTGGCTCTCCCAGCAACACTCATCCCATCCCACAGCTGTCCCGTTATGGCGCCGCAGGCAACTCTCACAACCCTTTATACCCAAGACTTTATCGAGGCAGCCAATGTTCGCTGGCAGCCTCAGTGCCTCCCTGATACCACTGTCCTTGTTCTGCTACTCTTGCTTAACATGGCACCCTGTGTTTCGTACTCTATTCCTGTTGTTTTTGGTCTATTACTATTTTCCCCCAGTTCTTTAATTTCGTCAAGTGTTGTTTACATCTATTTTTATGTTTTCTCCCTTCTGTTCTCTCACTCTCCTTACACGTGTTTGGTTCCCTCTTCTAATCTCATTTTCTTTCTCTTGTTGTTCATTGCTTGTTGATGCCAGTTTTAGGAAGTTTTCTGATACGAGGACGCCTGTGGCCTCCCCTCCCCCCTCACCATCAGCTTCAACCTCAGCATAGACAGAGACATACATGGATGCTCAGGATGGAAAGCTTGGTTTAATGGCCTCACAAAAGAGCATTTATGATACACACCTCGACACACTGGCCTGGCGCGCCTGACGCGGAATGGGCGTAATGTGCAGTCCGTATCACACTCTTACAGATTAATTATTCACATCCCAACCCTTCTTATAATGTTTGTAATTCAGCTGTTACCTCTTTTAAGAATCGTGCGCTGGTGGTCGACCGATACTGTGAATACATCAGCAAGCCTCAACCCCCTTCAAAGGTGGCAGTTTGAACTAAAATAGTTGCTTTGCCATTGGAGAGAACGTCTGAGCGGCTGAGAACGAAAACCATTGTGTTTTCGTTCTCAGAAGCTTGTTGTACTAGATGACGCTCAGTACTTCAGCGTTTATTTGTGAGAAAACTTCACTAACGCTACAGAATTACGTACCAAGTATACAGCCACACAGTAGCACGTGCTTAATGGAAATTTTATTCCGAATAGCTGAAACAACAGCAAACAAGTATTGAAGGGTGAAACTATTCCACCTACGCACCAGACAGACTACACAACTGGCTGTCGAATAAAGATAATTCGACAATTCATTAGCAGTTTACGGCACCGCCTCGAGGCACTATATGGGTCCAGGATATCAGGACACCGAGTTATTTTTAATAAAGGCCATTGGGTTCTGTTTTTTTTTTTTAATTCAGGCTCTTGAACCCATTTCTCGGACTGGATACAGTTAAGGTAAGGTAATTAATTATGAGGATAAAGTGATAACCAAGCTTGAGTACATATGCCAGCTGGGTTCATGATACCGTAAATTATACGGCCACCTTGGTTCTGGACCGTAAGCCTAAATTGGCATCGGGATTTCAAGAAAAAAAGCTTGATCACGATAAGATTTTAAACACAGAATGAATAAACTTGCATAAAAGTCTTTGTTTTCTTTAAAAAAATAAGAAAAATAAGAACTGTATTATAGCCAATAAATATGTCCAAGTTCAGAGAGCGAGAGAAAACATTCACACAAACACTTAGATAAACATATACACAAACATACATGCAAACATATTTCACAATGCTGATTATTCATGTGTGATGAACCGACATTATATAATTAACGTGTGAAGGGTTCACAATATTCTTCACACCACGGAATCCTCGGAAGTCCTTATCGGTGTTTCTCTTCCAGACGCCATCTTTATTATTGGTTGTATGCTGCATTGCATCCATATTGCTTGCCACAGGTTTTGCCAGGCCTAGCCTCGTCGTTGGGACGTGTAGGGACGATATTGTTTGTCCTGCGTTCCTCTACGCAACTTATATTCTCCTCATCATATGTATAAACGACCCCTGACCCTTCCACCACCTTTGGCAAAGGCCCCTGACCCTTTCATGACCGGTAGCAACGATTGATAGTTAGGTCTCTCCGACACTATGTTCTCTAACATGGTGGGAGCGGTTCCGTAGATTTATTACAACCCAGAAATGCAGTGAAGAGTTACGTATTTTCGTTTAGAAAAATAGAACATGAGGTAATTTGTGTTGATAGGCTGCCGTGATGAACCGTTATGACCCTCTGAAGGTTATCTAGAGCGGCATATTGGGTCTCTCTCACTGATATACAACAGATTTAAAACATCTTCTTTTCTGTGATAAGAAATTGTGTACATAACAAAAATCTCTCACTCTCTCACTCTCTCTCTCTCTCTCTCTCTCTCTCTCTCTCTCTCTCTCTCTCTCTCTCTCTCTCTCTCTCTCTCTCTCTCTCTCTCTCTCTCTCTCTCTCTCTCTCTGTCTCTCTCTCTCTCTCTCTCTCTCTCTCTCTCTCTCTCTCTCTCTCTCTCTCTCTCTCTGTCTCTGTCTCGTCTCTGTCTCTCTCTCTCTCTCTCTCTCTCTCTCTCTCTCTCTCTCTCTCTCTCTCTCTCTCTCTCTCTCTCTCTCTCTCTCTCTCTCTCTCTCTCTCTCTCTCTCTCTCTCTCTCTCTCTCTGTCTCTGTCTCTGTCTCTGTCTCTCTCTCTCTCTCTCTCTCTCTCTCTCTCTCTCTCTCTCTCTCTCTCTCTCTCTCTCTCTCTCTCTCTCTCTCACTATCTATCTCTTTTCTCTCTTTCTTCATAAATGTACATATATTTTTTATATATTGATCACAAAAGATAAAGAATTACTGATCTAGTTAAATGACGACTACTGTGGTAGTTTTTTCAAGGCTGTCGGGGGGGGGGGGGAGGGAGGGGGGGGGGGGGGGGAGGGGGGAGGGGACTTACGAGAGCGTGGTGCTAAAAAATGTTTGTTCCGCCACATTTTGAACAGAAACATGTGATGTTTAATATTCATGACTGATGAACATTTGAAATGTATTTTGTTTGTTAGGTTTCTTTCAAAGAATTGTGGTTGACACAACTATTAATAATAATAATAATAATAATAATAATAATAATAATAATAATAATAATAATAATAATAATAATAATAATAATAATAATAAACAAACTGTACCTGAACATAGCTCTTTAAGCCAATGTGCTGCATCCTTCCTCGATACACCCTGCCCTGACTACCTGCCCTGACTACCCTGCCCCTGATACCCTGCCCCTGATACCCTGCCCCTGACTACCCTGCCCCTGACTACCCTGCCCCTGACTACCCTGCCCTGATACCCTGCCCCTGACTACCTGCCCCTGACAACCCTGCCCTGACTCCCCCCTGCCCCTGACAACCCTGCCCCTGACTCCCTGCCCTGACTACCCTGCCCTGAGTACCTGCCCTGACTACCCTCGCCCTGACTACCTGCCCCTGACTACCCTGCCCCTGACTACCCTGCCCCTGACTACCCTGCCCCTGACTACCCTGCCCCTGACTACCCTGCCCCTGACTACCCTGCCCCTGACTACCCTGCCCCTGACTACCCTGCCCCTGACTACCCTTCCCTGATGCTTGGTGAAGCTCTGACACACTCTCCCTGCCTCTCCTCCCTCCCTCACCCTACAGCTAAGTCAGGGACTCTACTTCCTCATTCAGCCGGGAAAGGCTCAAAAATTCCACAACTATACTATGCACAACAACTGATTGGAAATTAATAGCAGATAATTTCACTTCATTGGCGTATAATAATATATATTTAATCGAGTAATGTACCATGCAGTGATATAATTCAGAGTGATTGAATACATTTAAAACAAGACTGGTCAAGTGCTTCTCTTCAAATATAAGCCTTACACTGAGTACTATCAGATGCTTTCTGTAGAAAAAATTGAGTTCTATGTGGATTTAATCATCTTGAAATCTGGAAGAAAGTGCAGTTATTTAAGTCTGTTTCAGACTGGATGGGTGTAATATATAGGACGTAGAAAATGCTGACGTTCATCAGTTAAATTATGAATTTCGGATATGCTCAAGATCTATCCTTGGTAGTCATTCTCTCACTCATTGAGACCTTTTGGCCTCATGTCGGCATCTACATCTGAAGAGGTAAGTCGCTAATGTAATGTCAAATTTTGTCGTAAGAGAATCGTCAATCATATTGGCAGCAAGAGCTAGTTGTTTAGCCTCCGTTATCTGTGCTTCAAAAGTAAATATGATTGGAAGGAAATACAAATTATTAATGTGCTAAATGATGTGGAATGTCTGCAGGTTAGAATAAAACAAATGATCAACGTTGAAAACATAGATGCCGAAAGTTGGATACGTTTAATTATTAATAAATTAATGTTACTTCCCAATATTAAATACAAGATATAGACTGATATCTAGGGCCACAGTACGTAGTTTGTACCTTTGCCTCAATGTTGCTATCTGTACTGAGAATTTGTATGATGGGTCGTCCAGTAACATAACATCCAACTGAGATGGGTTCCCATGCATTATCGCAGTTATCGTACTGAAGGCAATTCTTGATGGAAGTATCTTCATCTTTCAGATAAGATTCGCTTCATCGATTGGTCAGGGCCGTCAGGCAGGCAGTCAGGACTGTGTTTACATATCGTTGTGAGAATAAAGACATCTGCAAGTCTCAGCAGATATTAAACTCCTCAATATATGCGTAGTGGTTCACCCAGTTCGATCAACACTGAATGCTCACAGGTTCGATTCCCGGGCAGGACGAGACGTTTAAGGAACTCTTGTAGGTTGCATCTTTGGTAAGGTCAGTGGTTCAGCCCGCGCTCTCTCAGTTACCACAACCACCACAATCCATCGTCCAAACCCCATGTATGAACCCAAACCACCCACCTAACCTAACCAACCGATGCATAGCAAACGAGGATATTTGTGATCCGCAACTTTTCACAGCACGTTGTGATCCGCAACTTTTCACAGCACGTTGTGATCCGCAACTTTTCACAGCACGTTGCATTTAGTTCGTTGGTTACCATAACTACAATAACCTCGTGTTAGTTTTTATTTTATTTTGCTATTTATTTATATCCACAAGAGTTCTTACATTCTTGTAGAGCAAGTAGCACGCACAGCGTTTCGGCCAGGTCCTTAATCCTAATTTTCCAAGGAATACGACTGTCCAAATCGTTTAACAACCAGGTACCCATTCACTGCTGGGTGAACAGAGGCTACAGTTAAGGATTGGTTCCCAGTCAATACTCCCAGGCCAGGATACGAACCCAGGCCAAAGCGCTG